ACCTCGTTTAGGGTACACTGCAAGAGCTGACTCACCAAGATAAGCTATTGTGCAAGGGTGCTTGTGAGTTCTGCAACCTGTCGAGATAGGTGTTGTTTGCTATTTCGAGTGAATGAACTTATATGGTAGACGCTTACTTGAGTTATGGAAGTGTAATGGACTCCGGATGCAAAGCTTGAGCCAGGGTGGGTTTAATCTGTAACAAGGTAGGGTGAAAATACCTTTGGTTCATCCGTCAACCTTGGGATCTAGATCTGGGCTGGTTGAACTGTTATGGGATCATGCTTGACCGTCTAGAGGGCTGCGGAAACAGGTCAGGTGCATGGGCGTTGGGTAGCCTCGGTTAGCGCGACTTAGGCTGCCTCGATCTGGGCAGTTCGCATCCAAGTGACAGTGGCAGAGGACAAAGGCTATTGCCGAAGGTGAGCAGCTGCTTGGGTTTACGCTTGCTAGCTGCTTGCACCGTGGGCCTCCTGCCCTAAGGCTTTCTCACATTGAGTGGAGGCTACCTCGTGGGCCATTACAGTAGCGACTACCGCTGCTGGTATAACCACAGTACCTTGTGGTGGCAAAAGTGCAGTTTTACCGTGGTAAGCCTCGAGAAGCCACGTCGTAGAGCCACATCGCGATCTCTATCGGTTGGTCCATATCCTTCAATGTATGAGGTCCTATTGGTTGTAGTTTCTGAATTTCCTGCCATCGTGGTCGTGGATCTATGAATGAGGAAGTTGAAAGCGATAGTCTTCTTCGAGCCTTTGAATCGAAGCTCTCAATAAAGCACTAATTTGTGGATGAAAATTTCCGCATTTCCTGGATTGATGAATTTGCACCTGCAAAATAATAACAGTTAAGATTAAGGCCAAAAGCCTCACACACTCACAATGAATGAGGATGAGGGGCTTTGGCCGAAGAATCTCTGATGCCAAAGTTAAAATTCTAAAAAGAATGTGTTTGAATGTTTGTGGGAAGAAAAAAGCCTCTCTAAGGATAGCTAAAGCTTACTGAATTTTGGAAATAAATGGAGTATTTATAAGAGAGGAAGAAGAAGTGGGCCGGCCCTCTAGGGTTTAGGGGTGGCCGGCCTTAGGTGGTATTTTGGGTGGAATATTCTAAGATATTTGTGTAAATAAATATCTTACAATAAATAGGTAAATATCCTAAATAAATGAAATTAGGATAACTTACTTGAAAGAGGTCTTCTCTGATTAAGAATGTATTTATGATAAGAATAAGGGATTATCCTATCATAAATACTTTCGACTTTTCCTACAAGCAGGGGTGCCTTGAGCAGTCGTTGATCTCTGCCTGTTATACCTCAGTTGCGCATGGTAAATGAGGCTGCTCCCTACTCATTTAATAGGGGTAGTGTTGTCTTTCTTGGGAAATAATTCATGTATCAACTCCATGATTTTTGGGATTATTTTTTGCTCCACACTTGCACTTTTTAAAGGCCCTTTCAAGCTTCCCACAAGTCACAAATATCTTTTTTCCTTGACTTTATTAGGGACGGCCTTGGCTTTACCTTTGCTCTTTTCTTTCCTCATCTTGTTACTTTCTCCTACAAACCCCAATTTCCTAGGAAAATACTCCCTCATAAGCCTAATGCCTTCCCACTAAACCTCTACATCATGGGGTTCACCATATCGAAGCCTAATAATGAGGCAAAAGTCTTGCTTTGTGAACCGGGTCAATTCACAACTAAATAAATAGGTCAATTCCTCGAGGTCTTTGACCCCTTGAATTGCCACTCTTCGGAGCGACAACTCATGGATCAATTGGTCATCAGTGGCCAATTGATCCACATGCTTGAGGTGGCCAAAGAAGGATGCCTTAAAGGAGCTTGGGATAGGTTGTTTATAGGAATATTCTTCTTTGGTTGCTAATTCAACACCCTAAGCTACCATATCCTATACACATAACCAAAGTTCTAAAAGACGCTAGGCACTAGACAAGTAGCAAGCTGGGGCCTAGCTCTTAGGTGGCTAGGTGGGTGCCTAGGTGGACTAACTAGGCGGACTTAAGTAAATTTATTATATATATATATATATATATATATATATATATATATATATATATATATTATAAGTAAGTGTCTTCTTATATTTAAAAAAATACATAATTGTATTGGGATACATAAATTTTATTTAGACATATAAATTATAAATTAGAACATATAGAAAATATGGGGAACAAACATCCAATGAGTGTTCATCCAAGTATTCAACAAGTCTCTTACATTTTATTAAAAAACATAAAATGCAAAATGAAAGTTATCAATTTTCTGTCTAAATGAGAGTTCTAGTTGGGTCTAGGCAGGCTAGGCGCTTAAGCAAGTCTAGGTGCCTTTATTACTCTTAAAACGTCTAGGGATTAATCAGAACGGTGGCCAACCGCTTAGTGCTTAGGCGGTAATTTTTAGAACAATGCACATTACACTACAAGCACTCAACAGAACCAAATTCAACAAAATATACCTTTAACACAACCAAATTCAACAATATATACCCTAACAAACATGTCAACAGGTTTTCATAACTATATATCTGCCTAAACAAAGCACCATGACTTAAGCAATATCAAGTTAATTCATAAGATTACAGAAGATTTCATCAATACAAATTAATCCCAACTTAACACTATTACTTCAACTAACAAAAGTGAATGATATAGGCCCTATACACAACCTGTCAACAAAACTTCATAAACCCACTTCCCAACCAAATTTCCCTAAAATTCCATATATATCTACCAATTTCAACTAATTTCATCAACAAACATGCATAATTAACTTTAACACTAAATTAATTAATCAAATTAAAAGAAATAACAAAATCTTTTTCTAGCGTTCCATTTTCCAAACTCGCCAAATTTGAAATTGACTTTACGGATTGAATATTGTGCAAGGACTCTGAACATGACTTGAACGAAGTAGGCACCATATCCTTTCTGCCGAACCGTTGGAAAAATTTTGAACCAAATTCACCTGAGTTTCTAAAGTGTTGTGTGGAAGTGCAGAGATTTTCGAATGCCGAGCCGGAGATGACAACCACTAATGGAAGGAATTTTTCGAACGAGAAGGCAGTTTTCGAACGGGTAGGAAGTTTTCGACCAGAAAGGAATTTTGAAATCGTTGGCATGAGCCGTTCAGATTTAATCAAATTGGCCATATTAATTCTGCACCTAAGGTCTACAAATAGCGGTTTGCACCTGTTTGGGCTCAAATTTACACCATCGGCTCGTGCAATCGAGGCCGTTGAGTGAGCATAACTCCCAACCGTTGGATGGAAAAGTGAAGATAATGTTGTTATTATTAAAAGATAATATTATGATTTTTATCATAATAATTGTTTTTTAATATGAATTATCTTGACATATTCTTGAATAGGATAAATAGTGTACCGTGTGGGTTAGAGCAATTTGGCTTGGATTCTTATCATGACGCATAGCATGGGATTTGCAAGGCTTGGATAATGGTGAGATAGGAGACCTAAGTAGGCTAAGGTGTTGTCAGGTGATGGACTTGGCCTGCATGCCGTGTGAAAATCTACCAGTTATATATATATAACAAAGATTGTCAATGGTGCTGTGTGAAAAGCTACCATATAGCCTGCATGCCTATGCCTAATTTTATATATATATATATATATATATATATATATATATATATATATATATATATATATATATATAATGGTGGTTATTTTGATGGGCATTATCTGAACCAATCCAAGCGTGCAGGATTATCTTGGGATGTGATAACTGATAAGACTAAGCATAAGGATCGGATTTGGTTGCATTTTTGGCTAAGTTCAGAGTCGTATGAGTATAAAGATTATCTGACGCAATTTGTGGAAGAGTCCTAATACATGGCAGAAGCATATATCAGCTTATCAACCAACATTTTTATCCAACCTTATAAATACAGGACTCAATGCATCATTGAAAAGCCCCTGCAATTCAACACAAAACTGCCCTGCGCAAGTTCTCTCAAACACTTTGAGATTTTCATTTTCTTTTTTCGCTGACACATCTTCTGTTGGCATCAACAGCACTGTGAAAGCAACCGGTGATATCTTAAGTCGGCATAGATAGCTCTGTCATCGTAGAATCAGCCAATCTCGCAGTATCTTCCGTTGGCATCAACAGCACTGCGGCGAGGACGGTTGGTTATCTATCCAAGTCTCGGTCGAGAAGGATTTCCGGATCCTTATTGATTAAGGTCATCTCATTAGCCTTCTCGACGAAGTGAGGTGTTACAGTTTATTGAGCTCGGCGCATTGCACGCCGATTTATTTTATGATTGGATACTCCCAAGTAGGATTTAGAGTTCAGCATTCGGACGGCCGAACCACGTTCACTATTAAAACTTATATTTGCTTTGAGTATTTGTGCCCTTACACTTTGGTGTCGATTCGGCGTGAGTTTACTCTGACGAATAACATCATTATGACCGAATCCGACGACGACGATTCGTGAACTTCGTAAGAATAATAACCTTGTCTTCAGGTTCGAGAACCCAAGAGGCCGAGACGTGTTCCTTCCTCGGTCACAATCGCAAGACGCAGAAGTCAGCCGCGCACCCAACGCAACATCAACAAATTTACTCCTCGGCCGAGCTCGGCCGACGAGTTGGCACGCCCCCCATTTACCGAATGACGTAGTTAACTTATAGATTATTCGGCCTGCGTGCCACGTAGGCTTGGTAGTTTCTAGGGTCAACAGCACCATAGAAATGGCGATTGTTTGTTTATTATTATTATTAATGGAACAAGAAATACAAACGTCAAATCTCTTCCAACAGTTGGAAGAAAAATGCCAAGGGAAGATTTCACTTGTATGACTAATGAGAATGCCATTTTACCCTGCATCGTCGCATAGTTTCTATTAAGAATTCTACCGGCCATATGAAGGAACTTTCGGGTTTCAACAGAGACCTTGCCGTCATTGGCCGTAAAGAACAGAGCATACGCTATCTTGGCCGGAAAACTAAATCAAGCCCCTAATCACAAAATCATTGCATTATACACGAAACCAAAAATTCATGATTATTCATGTTGGTCAATACTCAATAGAGGGTAAAGGACTACAAGAAAAAGACACGGAGCAGCTCTACATGCTCATCCAATGGGGCCTAATCATCAAGAGCATAGTGTTCTAGCTCCCTTGGATTGAACCTTCTGAACTCTCTAGTGGATGTAGACCTGTTAATCTGATTGTATTTGCTGGTGGCACGCGCTTTAGATTTGGGTAATGGGGGTAGGTTCTTGACGTACTTGGTAGCACCCGAAAGGCCTTCAACTGGTGAGAGGGAGAAGATTGGGCTTTCTTTTCGGCCTGCCTGGTTTGCACTGGAGGAGTTGCTACTGGTAGTGCTACCTGGCTCACTTTCAAAATTTGAATAAACAGTATAGGTGAGAAGGGCTAGACGAGGCTCCTCCCTGACATTGTCGTTTCTTCTTCCTTCTTTTCTTTTTATTTGAATCTTTTCTTTTCCCTTCCTCTTACATGCATGATAGGTTGGCTAGCCTCAGTTAATTATGTGAATTGTTCGTGCGCCATAAGAAAAAAAACCACAAGGGTCCCCTGAAATCTGAAAGTAAGGAACTTTATTTACCTGGTTGGAAGACGCACAAGTTTCTTTTACTTTCTCAGCAGATGCATCTTGTCTCTGGCACTCACGTGTTCGAGACCGTCTTACTTTAGAATTCCTAGACCTGATAAAAGGAGAAACATAATCAGTTACCTCAAGCAATGAAATTCACATTAGGAAACATTTTCCAAGTACATTAAAGCAAACATATCATGGTTTAGAAAATAATTCGCACCGCCTATTACAAGCTACTACCTGATTCCAGTCAGTAAAAGATCTAAAACTAAGTTGATTACGAATTCGATTTATTAAAAGTATGCCTAAATGGTTTCAAGGCTTTGATCCATACAGGTTAGTACATAACTACTATATCCCATTCCTTCAAATTCCACCATCTTATGTGAATACAGACAGTCTTTCCTTTAGCAGACTAGATCAAATGTCTTCTTTCTTCACCTTTACTTACTTTGCGCCTCATCCCTCATGTCGAGAGAGTTAAAACACTAACGAGAGTACTTTAATGTTGGTTATTTAGGGGTTAGTGTTTTAGCCATGGATCAAATAGTACGAGATCAACTACTTGACCGATTTTTTTTTTCTGGTCAAATACTTCAGTTTAAATTTTTAATTACTTGTCATAGCATGTGTGTGTGTGTGTGTACTCATGGGTTTCAGCCACCGGGATCATGCATCCTTTAATCTGGTAACTCTCGAAATCACACACTACCATACAATTGGAGGATATACTCACTGTGATATCTACAGCTTTGTACATGAATAGGTTCTTGCACCTTCACAGTTAGTGCAAGCAGAATCCATCAGAGATGTTAGTGGACGGAACAGAAGGAAGACCAAATTCAATTAGAAAGCCAGGTTAATGACATTGAACCAATTAACAGGATGTTTATGTCATCTATCTTACATAAAGGAAAGCATCAACTTACTTTTTCTGCTCATTGGCTAATTTCAGTTCTTCATCCTCATTGTAGATTATAGGTAGACCAGAAAGTTCACATGCTAAGGGGCTTCTGAAAAAGAACTGTAAGCAGAAGTCCTTATTAGTATATAACACTCACATATTAACTCATGAGTAATACATGTACTTGCGAGACAAATTCAACACCAAAACAAGAATTCATACTATTGTCATGTGTTCCGAAAACATAGGGGGAGGGTGGAAGCTAAACTGAAAAGAGATGCTTTTCAATTATGTACAACTTTATTCTACTCATCAAGTGAAATTTTTATGACGATCAGTAGTACATTACAATTCAGCATGAGATATCTTAAACTTGCAATTCTGAACATAGATCAATAGCTTTATACCTTTGTACCGCCTCAAATTGTCAGCAAGAAGAAAATACGAAGAACAATAAAGTAAAAGACAGAGAATAAACGTTTAGCAAAATAACTTGCAGCAAACTGATTTGTTTTATAACCAAAGTATATTATTCATAATTGTGGACTCAAGCGTATGAAAATAGAAGATGAAAAAACGCTGGTTTCAATCTTAAGGACACAAGTTACTTGAATAGCATGTAATTGGTACAAAACACTTCATTGTAAGAGTAAAACTTTCAATTTGTACTCACTTCGTTTCTGAGAGCCGAAGATGCAGAGCCACGATAAGCAGGATCTAAAGCAAGAAGAGTGCTCAACAGACCCAAAGAAGAAATAGGGAAACCCTTGAAAGCTTCTTGAAGACTGGGTTTGTATGAACGTGGAGGTCTAAAAGTTGTAGACAGCTTCAATCTTTTCCAGTATTCCTCTGACGGAGTGCCACAAAGCCTGAAAATCCTATGAAGTTGCTCAACCTGAAAGCAAGTAGAATGTGAGCTACTAGCCAGTGATAGTAAGATCATATAATTGATCTTCTTGCCTGGACAAACACACATGCACACGCACAACATTGAATTACCTCTGTTCTACCAGGCAGAAGTGGTCTCCCTGTAAACATTTCAGCCAAGACACAACCAGCACTCCAAAGATCAATGCCAACTCCATAATCTGTAGAACCTAACAGTAGCTCAGGAGCTCTGTACCAAAGCGTCACAACTCGGTTTGTGAGTGGGCGCTTAGGGCTTTGAACATAATAGTTTGCAAGCCCAAAATCTGCAATTTTTAGCATTCCACTTTTATCTATCAATAGGTTTGATCCTTTGATGTCTCGATGTATAATTCCCCTCTCGTGACAATGCTGCAGACCTGAAAGTAGTTGATGCATATAGCACTTGACCTGTATCAATAATTCATGTTAGAAAATGAGAGTCCAACGAATCAAAGCATCCAAATTCAGAATCCACGAGTTAGGACAAACTTAAACCTGTGGTTCAGTAAGCCCTTCAGGGCTGGAAATAATTCTTGTCAAATCTGACACCATGAAACCAAAAACAAGATAAATGCTGTACTGCATTCTTGACGTAGCCAATCCTTCAAGCTTGACCACATTGGGATGATCCAATTTCCGTAAAAACATAATCTCTCGTGCCATAAATTTAACACTCTCGGGTTCTGATGTATCAAACCGGACCTTCTTCAAGGCAACAATTTTTCCAGAGTCCCTGTCTCGCGCCTTATACACATTACTGTAGGTTCCTTCGCCAACCTACAACATTAAAAAAAGTTCAAATGCCAGCCTTTTTCTCAACAATAATCCCGCCAACTAATGAATTTATATCCAAATTTATTTCTTAAACTTTTAGTGATTTGTAAAGACGGGCAACCCCAAAATTTAACTAGAGAAGATCCAAACTTTTCCATTAGTCGCATACTTCACTTTCATGATTTTGTTTTCATTCATTCTTTTTTATTTCTTTCCCTGTCCCATCACCCTTGTTCCTCTCACCTTTCCCCTTACACTTGTCCCATATCGCAAGCACAAAAAGTGAAAACCAAAAACGAAAAATGGTCCCTTAGCTTTTCGATTGCATCCACAAAAGCACTCAAGAACAATACGAATTCCAATCACTAATGAAGGAACAGAAAAACATCCATATTACACTTCTAATGAATCCAAAACATAAAAATTTGAAAGCGAGAGTTCAAAAAGAATTGAACCTTATCAAGCTTGTCAAAAGAGTCAGCACTCTTCGGAACCAAGCCAGCCAAAATCTCTCTCGAAATATTATCAGTGAGCCACTTGGGCCATCCATCCACAAACTCCTCATCATCCACAGAAACTTTATGAGAAACTTTGTGACTCCCATCATCTTTCTCTCCCTCACTACCACCATTCAACGCCCCCCACTCATCCGCCACCGCTGCCGCCGCCTTTTCGTTGCTGCTTCCTCCACTGCCAGGCTCGACATTTGAAATTCTGGCCTCACCCCTCTGCTGCCGCGGCTTAAAGGGGTCCCTATGGAACTGGCCAGTTGATCGTCTGTGACCGTTAAGGGGACCATTTGCGACGTACCCATTATCCAGTTTGAGCTTCTCTAGCCCCCCAGGAGTGGAGTTCGTGAGAGGCTTGGCCTGAACGCAGCCCATTGGCCTGTGTGTCGAGACCAGTCTGTTGTTTTCTGAGAGTGACGGGTTGCAGAGCAGAGCAGAAGAGAGAGCAAGACGAGGAAGAAGACGGAGAATGAGGAGGGGTAGTAGGCGAATATGTGGGAATCTTGGCCGTCCATGGACGGCAATTTGGAGGCATACTGTGCGGGAGAAAATAGAGGTGTTTTGTCCTTGATTGGCTCCTTTCCTTGCGTTTCTCGCTCAATTGCAAAATCCGGAGGAGCTAAAGAGGAAGGAAGTACGATATAGCCACGTGTAAGCACGTGACAATTACTTCCTTTCTTTTTAATTTTTGTTTCCTTGCCTTCTTAACATCTATCTGCGGACTAAGATTCTTTCATTAAAAATTTTATGATTTTTTTTACAGTTGTTGAGACGTCTGCCCTGATTTAGTTCTTCAATTATTTTTTAAGTAAAAATTAAGTATACTATTGCTTCAAATAAAATCAGTCTTTAAATTTCTTAAAGGTTGTTAATTGCATCCCGACTATAAGATGCAAAACTATTCTATTCAATTTTTTGTTAATGTAAGTCACATAACTTGCATATGATATATTTTGAAGGGTCATTTGACAGCTTTTAAGGAGTTTAAAGACTTGTCACTTTGTACTACGATCTAGTGGTATTCTTCTTCACTTGTAAGTGAGATATCTTCGTTTCAATTCTTACCAAAGGCGAATTTGAACCACATTATTGATATTCTATTGTGAGGCTTAGCCCACTCTCCCACCTTCTTAGTGTAGATACTATTGTTTGTAAAAAATAAAAATAAAAAAGAGTTTAAAGACTTATTTTTCTGAACAAAAATAGCATATGCGGTTAACTTTGGAAGATAAATTGCTAATTAGATTCACAACCTATATGGAATTTTAAGTGTTTCTTTGCGAGAAAATGATGATATTATTTTCTAAAATGTGTCACGTGCAAGTTACGTGACTTAATTAACAGAAAAATTGAATACAATATCTTCGCATCTTATAATAGAAATGAAATTAAAAATTTATAATGATTTGAAGGACTTGTGTTTACGGAAAATATAGTTTAGGGTTTACTTATGTAATAATTAAGAGAATAAGGAGGACGTATTCAATCCTTGAAGGACTATAAATTGCTAGTCAAGATCTTGATTTTGTGCCAATCGGGACCATCCGTTCACAAACATACAATATCTAAGGCCAACAGATACAAGATTAACTTCACAACAATCCCTAACCTCTAGGTCAATCAATTCATCAAAAAGAAAATCTAACAGTTTCGATTATAGCATTTCTACCCGTTAATAGTAAATCAGAACTTTCTTCTTGAAATGAGAGAAGTGTAATTTATAAAAATAAAAATAAATAGAGCCCAGCCGGCCTGATGACGACACGTGATGAGATGCTAGTGGCCCAGGCCCAATGGCCTCAACCAATGGTACTGCCTATTTGGTTTGGCTGCCTGACTGACGGGTGCGCACATCACAAGTCTCCCGACCAGTTTTTCTCCCAATCTTGAATCTTGACTGGTAAGAAACCCTCAAAATCCTGGAGAATAATTGGTGACACCAAGCCCCTCAGCTCAAACAAGAAAATACAAGATTCTCTTAAAGGGTATGCATTTTTTAATCTGTTTTTTTTTTATTTTGTTTTACTTGTGTAAAATGTGGGTCTTTCGCAATTAATATGGTGAATTAGATAGAAAATCGAATCGCAGCGGAGGAAATCTATGAAACCCAGATGGAGATACAAGTAGAAAGTAGAAAATTAGAGTTGTAGATCATTTCTATGATGCACTATGGATATTGTGGAATTTACCAATCATACCACCACCACTGAAGCGTCTGGAGATGTGAGTTAAGCTAGTTGGTTAGGGCAGTGCCGGCCTCCTTGCGGCCAGTTTGTTCACTCTTCTGCATATTAAAGTAGTTTAGAATATCGTTTTGTCAAAATATGGTTAAGAAAACGTCATCAATCACACTGTATCGTATGTTGTTGAAAGCACTAGAGCTACCTTGATTTGCACGGACAGCTTTGAAAGTATGTAACTTGGAAAATGTTACGATGTTATTCAGGAATTTTAGTCTGTTGAGTTGAGATGTGTAACTATCAAGCTTGGGAAGACGATTCTCTGCAGGGTGAAGATTATGCACAGAGCATGGCAGATGGCGTAGATGTTGGGGAGACAAGGTGGGGAGCGCGGCTGGCAATGTTGGAAGCGCGGATAGCTCGAGTGGAGGCTAGGGTGGAAAGACTGGAGGCAAAGATGCTCTATCTGCAAAAGGGAATGCGTGTCGTTTGCGTGCTGTTTCTGTTTACTCTCATCTATGCAGTTGTCAAGTAAATGTTGGGGGTGATGAGTTGATTTGTTTCAGCTGTGTATGCTCTTCTTTTTCTGTAAAATATGTAGTTAGGCATCTGAATTCTGATGATTCTCTCAACTGCACATTTACCTTTGTTTTTATGATGCTGTATAAGTACTTTTTAGTTTGGACATATGTGAAAGGATCCGGATTCTCTTCTCTCCCATTTTCCCTCCCCTCCAGTCCTCTCCTATTTGAACGCTCACGATTAAGCCACATCAACATCTTGTGTTGCTTCTCTATAGAGAGAGAGAGGAGGGGACGGGAGGGGAATGAGAGGGGAGAACCCTACTCGTATGTGAAAACAAATGGGCATAGGCGTTAATCAGTTTATGCATTGGAGTTTCTACTCAGATCATCCTGCCGTCATGTGTATGATCAACCTGCATTTCGAGCAGTCATGAACAACTCCAGATATCACGAAACACTGCTGCAGACTTTAGTTCACCAATTTGATGCACCTTTGTCTCTGTTTACTTGAAAAGGAAACAACCCGAAAGCAAAACAAAACAAAAATGTTATCAAACGAGCTCTGAGGAACTTTTTCTACTGTTCAAATCCTGGTAAACATTGTAAATTTGCAAGTAAACAGCAGCGACAATAGCCAAGTATTTCTCGGAAATGAAATTTAAACGAATTACTCAACAAAGTTACAAGTGAAAACAGTGAATGTATCTGCACCAGCTCCAGAGAAGATAAGGTATTGAGGCTTTTAACATCCCTCCGCGCTGGTGTGTATCATTCCAGATCTAGAATTCCGAAATTGGAGAGAAGTATCTTTACTTGATCAACAAAGTCCGAGCCAGTTGCATACTCTGTTAGCATTCCAACGGCAAAACCGAACATTGCCCATCTGTAATGCCAAAATCACAAATACATGAGAACAAGATCACAGATCAACAAACTAAACTATGCCACACAAGTTCACAGACCCAAATAGGAAGCAGAATTCCTTTCTTTCTTTCGGGAAATCCTAGTTTGGTCGAGGATCGAAAAGAAATGACAAACTCAGACAGAGCACAACCTGAATTCAGACTCCAAGTTAGGGAAAGCATGTTGATTCTAATGAATAAGTAAAACTACAGAAGTACGGTGTCTTATTGTTTCATCATTCGAAGAACAAGCTGACTACATCACCATCCATTACTACAAATAGACGAGGCAAGGAATATAAGAAGCGCGCTAATATATAATCGAAACCGATGATTTAACAGGTTCAATTTGAAAGGGGAAGCCAAAGCTCAAAGAAGTAGGATAGAATCCAACTCAATGCTTGCGTTTAACATATTCCAAGCACACTAATCATTTTGTTGGTTTCACACATAACTATTAACTACTGCCCCTTAGAGGACATATTGGAACGATACATAGAAGATTAGCATGAACGAACCCTGCGCAAGGATGACACGCATAAATCAAGAAAGGTCCGATAGATAAACCAATTGCAAAGCTTTTACCTGCCATTGCTGATCTCATTCTTGCCAACAAAGCCAAAGAAAGGACCCTGGTTAGCTTCCTCAAGCTTCTTCTGCTTGAAGTACTCCTGAATCTCCTTAGCCTTTTGCCTCTGGAACTCCAAGGTCACCACATTCTTGTCCTCCACCATAGTCTGCCCGGAAACCTGTTCCGGCTTCAAGGGCTGCTGAGGCGGCGGCGAAGGAGACGGAGGAGAAGGAGGCGTTGGTGTGAGAGGGGAAGACGGCCGGGAGGGTTCCCGGAGAGAAGGAGCACCAGGTCTTCTGATAGGGCCTTCGGTTTGAGAGCTCCTTATGCTGAATTTGACATAGTAAGGCTTTGTTGAAGAGGAAGAAGAGAGCATAAAAGAATGGTTTGAGGAACAAGAAGGAGAATGTGAGCAGGAAGATGGTGATGCAGGTGGGGTTTTGATGCAGGGGAAGGAAGATGCCACTGACATTTTTGTGTTCTTTTGCTTTCTGAGGAATTTGGGGGTGGGATTTGTTTGTGTTATCCATTGAAGCAGATGGAGTTGGAAGTGCTTTTTGTGGATAAGGTGCGGCCAAGTTTGTGAAAAAGGAGATGCCTGGCGTCCTTCGAATTCTAATTCTAAAGTCACGTGGTCTTGGACTCTTGTGATGCAAGACTAGTTAGGTTTTCTTTTTTTTCGGAAACTCACTAGTCAGGTTTGTTGGCTGGCTTGAGTTTGGCGCCTAACGGTTTATACAATCGCGAGAGACACGTGCCAGTTATTCGTCCTGTTATTTTTCGAGGAAATGATTATCATATACCATTTTTCGCTTAGTACAAACTCATCAATGGTGACCTGTACAAATAAATCGAGCGAAAACAACATATAGAATTAAACAAGTGTATAGGCAGAGGAAAGAGGTGAGCGATTATTATTTCTCTATTTTATGGATAAATAAGTAAACATGAATTTTTTTTTTTATATAAATAAAATATATTGATGAGAAAAAAGAGAATACAAGCAGAAAAGAATAGCTGAAAATACAAACAGTTGCAGCTCTAAGAAAAACAGACAGCAAAGCTAACAACGCTGCATCAAAGCAGCAAAAATAAGCATTAACTATTCATAGTTATATTCCATTCCCGTAAAGTAGAGTCATTAGCAGCGGAATGGGCGATTTTCAAAGAACTCGATCGAAGTCTAATGGTGGACTTAATTGAGTTGAGAACCACTGCAGCGGGTTGACATAAGTTCTTGAATTTACAATTGTTTTGCTCCCTCCAAACATAATACACTGTAGCAACAAGACTTAACTTCAAAACTATCGACAATAGAGATTTTCCCTTGCAACGGCTAATAGCCCACATGACAAAAAGAGGCCAAGGGAGCCTTAGCCAAGGGACACCACACTTGAATATCACCGAAGACCAAATACTATTGGTAAAAAGACACTCAAAAAAGAGGTGGCAATGGGACTCCATAGCAATAGAGCAGAGTACGCAAGTGACAGGAACCGATGAAGCAAAAGTCAAAATTCTACCCATAGTACAAAGCTTGCATTTAATAGCCAACCAAAGAATGAAGCTCATCTTGGGAATATTTAGATTATACCAAACAAGCTTAGACCAACCTACCGTAGGCTTGGATTGCCGAAACTTATCCCAAGCAGAAGCAGCAGAGTATGCCAGACGATGAAGGTGTCCATCGAATCATATCACCCAAGCTACGATTTGGCACAATATTAGACATAGAAATTTGAATTTCCAACAACTCATGAGAAGAATTATTAGGCCAACACCAATTAGAACCATTCCAAATATTGCAAACCAAAGCAATTTTTGAAAGCCTGGAATCAACAATGATATGGCAACCCCAATTCACAACAAGAGGACCTAAAGGATGCCAATTATCATACCAAATAGATGTTCCCCTACCATCTCCAATTTTGTGGAAAAAGGAAAGCCGAACAAAATCTCTCAATCGGAGAAGCTTCCTCCAATTCCACGAGCAGTTTTGGGGGATCTTAATCTGCCAAAAGTTCATATTTCTCAAAAGATAGATTCTAGCCCAGACATACCAAACATTGTCTTCATCGATGAGCAAGTTCCAGATGTTTCTAACCATAAGCGCTCTATTCCAGTCAATCAATTTTTTAATCCCAAGACCTCCATCAGATTTAGTAAGACACACATCATCCCAAGCAACTTTAGCAACACAATGACCAGAAAGCTTACCAAACCATAAGAATTTTTGAACCCTTTGCTCAATATCACGGAGAATTTTCTTAGGGGGCATGAGGTGTGAGGCCCAAAAAACTTGCATACTACAGAGAACAGATTGAACAAGTTGTAAAATGACCAGCAAAATAGAGGACATTGTTCTCCCAAGCTCTAATTCTAGCCTCAACGCGCTCGATAAGAATGGAGCAATCTTGCAAGGTTGCTCAACAAAGCTTAATTTGCAAGATGAGCAATCTTGCAAATTATGCTTCTTTTCAATTCTAGCCTCAACGCGCTCGATAAGAATGGAGCAATCTTGCAAATTGAGCTTTTAGTTAGGTTGGCCTTAATACCAGACAAAGAATTAAAGCTGCATAAAGAGTCCTTCAAGATCTTAGCTGAATGATAATCCCCTCCACAAAACATAATGAGGTCATCAACAAAACAAATATGAGCAAACTAGACTGCCTCAAAGCGCCAGTGGTATTTAAAAGAAGGGCTAGCATTTATATTAGAGATAATTAATAAAGAGAGCACCTTCATAGCAATAACGAAAAGGTAAGGGGACAAAGGATCCCCTTGTCTCAAGCCTCTGTTACTAGCAGAGAATCTTGTCAATTCACCATTCACATAAATGGAGAATTTGGGGGACGAGATGCAGCAAAGGATCCAATTGATCATGACAGGATGGAAGTTGAACGCTGCCAAGGAGCTAAGGATGAAGTCCCATTCAACCATATCATAAGCTTTCATAAGATCAACTTTGAGAGCACACCTAGGAGACCCCTTATCCCTGTGATGGTTTCTAAGTAACTCTTGAACAAAAAGAATATTGTCTCCGATCCTCCTAACATGAACAAAAGTTGTTTGGGACTTGCTAATAATATGAGGAAGAATAGATTTGAGCCGATTAGCAAGAATCATGGATATGATCTTGTACATAGTATTGCAACAAGAAATAGGCCTGAAATCACTCATGGTAGATGGGTTGGGAACTTTGGGAACTAAAGTGATGATGGTTGTGTTGAACTCCTTGAGAAGCTTTCCGGAAGAAAAAAAAATTCTTCAACAGCACGTATAATGTCTCCACTAAACAGCCATGCTTTTCTAAAAAAACATTCCATTAAAACCATTAGGACCAGGAGCCTTGTTGGGATTCATAGAGAAGCACACATCTTTTATTTCATCTCTAGTAACCTCACAGCATAAGGGATTCGTCATTTCACAAGAAAGCGGATCCTTGATAAGATTATTCTAAACCTCTAACCAATGGTGATTACCCTCAATGGACTAACCCAACAAGGATTAAAAAAAAGGTGGTTGCTTCATTTTTGATGTCGCTGTCACTAGTAGCAATGGTACCGTCACTTCTTGAATTAGAATCAATCTTGTTTATGTTCCTCCTCTTAGTCATGACCTTGAAGAAGTAGGACAAGTTTCTATCCCCAGATTTAAGCCATTGCACACGAGCTTTCTGTCTAAAGAAACTTTCTTCAGCAAGAATCGCATCAGAGTATGATTTAAATAGAAGTTTCTCTTGCTCCCTCAACTGAAGATCAAAAACATTAGCTTCAAGATCACGCCGGCAGCAATCCAGAGCACACTTGGCCTCTCTAGCCACTCCTTCCCGTTCCATCAATAATAACCCCTTCGCACATACAATTAAACGATGGGGGCCACACTCCAGTCTAAATGCATATGAGACTTACAATGCATTTTGAGTTTGGAGTACCAAAACCCGACAATGCTATAAGAATTCAATAATCAGCGCGAATGAACGATTGTCACCTAACATTTTTTTGTTATTAATATGAAAACATTTTGAATCGTATCTTGTCACCCGTGAACAACACACGCACGCCCACAAGCCTACATGATTTTCTTCACAAGCTAAGCCACCACAACTGAACCCGCAAATGAATCCTCTACGTCACTCTGATTTGTTCTTGTCACACAAGCACACAAACACACGAGTCGTAATTTGAAGTTATTTTTCCTAGGTTTTTCAGAAGTGTACTCCATGATCTTTGGTAAAGATGGATTAAGCCCAAAAAAAAAAAAAAACAGTCCTCGTTGAGGGTCACTTTGCGAGACACCCAGCAGTCTCGAGTATCAATAAGTTCAATAAGTTCTGGTTTGGTAATGAGATGATTCTGAAAAAAGTGGCTATCAAAAAAAGTTGAGAGCTTTTTTATGTTTAGTAAACATTTAGCTTCAACTTTTTTTCACAGTTTTGGGTGAAAAAAAAAACCAAAAATACAAAGCTGCAAAACCCAACTTTGAAAAATCAGCTTTTTTTTTCACATCTGTTTTACATAAAAGTTTATCAAACACTATAATTCTGCTTTTTTTTCAAATGCACTTTTACAAAAACATTTACCAAACACTCTGCTGCTTTATTTCACAGCTGTTTATTCTCACAGCACAACAAAAGCAGTTTTTTTTCAAAGCACAGCAATACCAAACCAGCCCTTAAATCTCTTTCAATTATGCTCCTAGCTCAACATACGCAACGGGGACAAATGCTCGGTTAAAATCCAACAGTGCCTTGGACCATAGAGCATAACATCAGTCATTCTTAAAAGGTTTTAGTTTTTGGAGAAGAGGAAAATACTGAAAATTCATTAAACCAAATCAGGAGGACAAAAAATAATACATTAATTACGACAAAATAATGAACAGTGCAGTCACACAGGAGGAAGAATAACAAACGAAACGATGTCCCCAAACCCAAAGGGACAAAATTGAAACCCACAGCAACCTGATATACACATGAATGTTCATTCCGACGG